TGTCAAGTCATTTATTTTGCTGACTCCTCGGTTCAAGATACGTTAAGTTTTATTTTGTCGAATCTCCTTCATTTCATCTACCATATTAGTCTTCTCATCATCCTAATCAAGGTGCAACGTTTGGAGTTGCTTCAATTATTGAAAACAGTTGACCGAGGAGTGTTCCAACCCACAACATAATCCTCGACAATTTTCGACAGTGGCTTTTTGGTATTATGGTATTATTTTCTGTAGTTGTCTAATGCCAAGCTCTCATCGGTTAATATTTATTTGAAAGAATGTGGTGATTGGCTTAGCAGAACGGGGTTCTGAATACTTTCAATCTTGTCAGTGAAACCCGAGGCTATATGTATCAGCGCCCTACTGTAAAACATGTTGAAAAAGCGGCATGCACTTTTAGCGTATTGTGGTAAAATGACGTAATAGCGAAATTTTGATTTAGCGAAACTCTTTTGTCATTGTTGATTTCTTTGTTTGGCGGCCATTTTGAATTTATAATCAAGTCATTAGCGACATCTTGAATTAGCGAACCAGTTCTCTCGCTAAATTCGCGAAAAAGACATGCTCGCGAAACATACATGTTTTACAGTATTTGCTAAGACAGCACTGTGTGTGACTTGCGTAGTCACCGGGGCCGACTCGGTTGGTTTAGTTTACGTACAATTATCGTGCCATGATTAATCAAATATCGGTTAAAAATTCATAAATTATATCCATGTAAGGTCAATGTATTATGCCTAACAATGAAATGCTGGGTAAAATATTCGAATAGCATTGCATCTCGGTGCTTATAGTTTTACAATAAGGGAGTAGATTCTCATCTGAATGTAAACAGCGATTTGAAGATCTTAGGTTGCAAAATTGGCACATAGAGATCGGTACCAACAAAAGATTTGGAACTTTTATTATGATTAAGCGATTACTTTATTTAGAAACTTATCTGAATCTAACTAAACGTGCTCTTATAACCTTTCGCATATAAAGTCATTGTCTAAAGAAATACCATACTAATGTGTCACATGATCAAAGATTGTAATTTCAATTCAGACAGGTCTGGTATGGCACCAAAATTCGAAGCATAATCGTGGACTTGTGCGTTTTGTGTGTGGTTCATCATCTGCATATTTGCATACATTTCAAAAATAAGCAGCAACATGTGAAATTGCCAACTTGAAGGTCTTTTGGCATTTTCCAGTAAGTTGATCACCAATTTCTACATATCAGTCTTGTTGAATAATTTACCCAAATGATGTTTATTATTATTGCTTTAATTCAAATCCATAGCAGAAGAGACCCCCTGCTAAAAATTAATGTGAAAGCTAGTACAGCTGATTTTTCCAGTGTTGAAAAAGTGCTGACTTCCACCGTATATTATCAGACTAAAAAGCGGACGGTTTGACGAACTCTGCCCACGTTCATTGAATTTAAAAAAATGAAATTACGATAAATACACGAAAATAAATTAATGCGGTTTGTAACGAACATATCACTAGCGCTACAGTCACTTGGATAACTGAACAGTCTGCGGAATGCATTATTATAACATAATTTAAGAGCGTTCATGTTCGATTTACGGTAAGTGCACCACAATTGGCAGCAATAAAAATTGGAACTGAACGAATAAAATACATTTCACACGATAACTGCATTTGGCGAATCTACGTAACAGACTATTAGCTCTTATGCAGAACGACCGTCTCTGACTGTCAATATCCATATTGTCATTTAAATCCGTAGTCAATATGTGACCGAGGCAAATAACGTTCTAAACAAATTAATGTCATGACCATATATAGTAATTGATGATAATGTGTTAAGTTTAAGACGTCCTGAAATAGTCGCGCGACAGAATTTCCACATCTAATAGAGTAGTATTACGACGAATAAAAGTTCATAAGAAATCGAATGATGTATGATGGAATCTCACGGTCTACTAGTTTGCTAAACAGTGTCCAGTGGTTGACTCTGTCAAAAGCCTTTGACGCATCAAGAAAACAAACAAAAACATTACTACCAAGAGAGTTATAATGACGAATAATCTCTTTTAAAACGAACACACACAGAAGTCCGTAGAATGATTCTTTTTAAAACCAAATTGATTGCTGGTGGTCACGAGGTACAAGAAACAAGTGTATTACTGTTGTAATGGCGATTGGATGGGAGTTGTTTATCTGCCCCGTCTAAACAAAATTCTTTTGCAATTGGGTCTGAATAAATATTGAATGAACTAATCGATGTAGGCCTTTCGTGCGGTTCCAACATACACCGTTTGTTTCCACATTGGATTTCCGTCTTCAGTTTTGTCACGTTTCGTCTTGATTTTCTGGTAAACATCTTCCAAGAATTCGTCCTTCAGGTTGTAGGGTATATACTGCATTTGAGGTAAAAACCCTAAAAGGAATGCTTAAAAAAAAGAAAAATCACTCACAACAATGTAAAGACAATTTCAATATTAGCTGATAAATTTGATGAAATCTTTTGATTCACACGAACAAAACCAAAATTGTATATGCTCAGGTATATAATACCAGCATTTTAAGAGTTTTGATTGGGTGCGAGCTTGTTTTCATTTATTCAACATATTACTCATGTTTTCAGATACCTCCATCGAGTATCCAAGTGCAAGGTCTGGTTTTAGATAGCGGTTTGCCTAATATGTCGCTGTTAACTGTAACAATTCCACTTAGCATATGAATGCAACTATAGAAATTACACTCTGCATATGAATACAAACGTGGCCGGTTTACAATTAGCATAATCACAAAGAGACATGCGCGCTGTACTGTCTTAAATATTCTATATTACGCGTGGACACCTTGGACACTTACTCTTATTCTCTATATCATTGTCAGACGCGTAATACGGAAAACTTCGATCTACGTCAACGTGGACATCAACAAAACCAGCCTTCCTAATAGCATCAACAAAATCTTTCTCATTTCCTTGAAATGGGTAGTGGTTATGTGAATAGACCTTAAATTAAACAGTAACAAAATCACATACAGTAAATAGTAACAAAATCATACCGATCGTTGCATAATATATACCGCTATTTCTCAGTTTTTATATTACGTTATGTTTTTACTTAGTAGCAAAGGATATCTTTTCTTATTGGTTGTTTCTTCATTGACAATATTCATTTCTTATTAGAAATGTATGTATACAACGCATGGATTAGTCAGTGATCTTAGTCTCTGCCTGTTTTTTTTTTAAAACTGACTCGAATTGAATAGAATTATATGCGCATTTCCTATGATAATTAGCACACATATAGTTATGATGCTTGCTAGCATAGAAATGATACGCCAACGCCATGCAGTAGGACGTAATTGTTGGGTTTATCTAACTAACACTCCACTTCTGATTACACATATTCATATATGTACTGTAGGGTATTATGCCAGCTATGAATCAAACGTAGAGCATATTATTATACATCTGTCACCGTAACGCCATAAGTTACAGCGTGTCGTAATTTGTCGGTATTTTACGGGATATATTCATGCTACTATATTAGGAAATGTGAATTCCAGATATGGAATGATTACGGCGTAAGTGTCCTCTAATAATAAAAACAAACAAGGCTGCCACCAGGGTTCGACCGGCCGCCGCACAAAGAAGTTCGCTGATTCTGTTCTAAACTTTTTGGGATTTCGGCATTCCCGTGATGTATTCTTGTAGGAAAAGATGTATAATAACAAGGCTATTACGAGGATACCTCAAAGTATGCACTCAGACAGTACACCGTCGCATCGACCTCCGCTGTACTGTCTTCGTGCACACTTTGACGTATCCTCGCAATAACCTTATATGATACCATCGATTTGCCTCACAGGTTTCTCCATTCTTGTTTTGCTGATAAAACCTAATCTAACAGAATCACTGAGACCACGTTACTTGTACTAACCTTAAAGTAACGGTGATACTTTGACAGTTCATCAACTGCGTCGTTTATTATACTGATATAGTGCGGTTTGTGATCCACTTCGATATTAATATAACACTCCCCTCCTGGTTTCAAACATTTATACATGTATCTCATAGTATCAGACCAGTTAGGAATCCAATGTAGAGCATAAAACGCCAATGCTTTGTCGAACGAGTCAATCCACTCGGGTTTGTATGTCTCAGCATTTCCAGCATCAGCCACAAAGTATGTGATATTATCTGCGCTATTTATTGACTTAGCGATGTCGACCATTTTGGGGTTTATGTCAAATGCTGGAATTAGTGAAAAATCTGTTAGTTAATGTACTACCAGTAACCGTTTTTTTTAAAAAAATATTTATTAATTACACAATTACCCTGCTAGTCTCCCCCTCTTACCTGTAGCTGATTTTATCTTGGCATTTGCAGTTATCTGTTTCGTTAGCTCTCCCGACCCACAGCATATGTCGAGTAACGAATCTGACTTTTGAAAACAAATCCGTTGCATGACGTCATCTGAAGATATACAAATATCCCGTTTACGAATTCTGGAAAAAGATGATGCTTCTTCAATATTCATCACCGTTAATTGTTCTAAAGAGTGAATCCAGAAATGGTTATTACTTAACTATACATTGTATTTCAGTAATATCTGATAGATTGATATTTCACAAAATGAAGTGGATGATTTGGAAAAAAAACAGGTTATAAACAATAGAAATATACAACAAACACTCTTTTAGTTCTCATCATGAATGCAGCAGAAATTTAGAACACATACAATGAACCCTCGAGTCATTTTTATTATATCCCATTGTTCCATTAGATACATGTGATTCAATGGTTCCCATACAAGTCGTTATAACACAAACCATTAACCGCTTTTGTGAGCGGCAGCCGTCTTCATTGGTTGCCGACCACTGATGCATGAAAGCTTGAAAAATACCTAGAATGACAAAATAACACTAACCAGAAAAACTCAGCTGGGAAACTATTTGAAAATTAAAGTTCGGACAGAAGCAACCCATTAAAACCAGATGAAAACACACGGAGCGTTGAGAACGACGTGTTCACCCGACCAGTATTTTATTGTATTGTATCATATTGTATCGTTCTGTGCTTTTTAGCACAAGGATAAAATAAAATAAAAGTCGATCACCCTGCAGTACAGAAGTACATTGGAACCCAGTAGACAGGCCGTTGACACCGGTTTGCACTTTAGTGGGTACCACCCCACCTTTATTGACTCGATCCGTATATACATTGTTTTGCCTCGCTTTCAGTACACATTTTTCTCTTGGAAATGCTGTAGGTTACTCATTGCAAGACATTACATCCCTCCTTGATTCACAACTCAATAAAAATTCTCATAGTAACCTCAAGAGTTCATACACCAGTAATTTGCAGCAGTTCATTTCTAGAATTTGTTTGTGTTTACAACTATTACACAATTGAATGTCTTGTATTGATTTATATTTCAGTTTTCTAGAACTGTTAACAAATTTGAAATGACTAACTAAACTTTTGAATTGTTGAAACTGCTATAAAGCTACTACTAATATTACTATCTTGCCCTACAATAAGTGTAAAGGATTATTCGGCCCTTTCTTATGTTATTTTAGTTTAACTTTTAATCTAGCAAGTACCAGGGTGCTTTTTGGTTCTTTCATAAAGTAAAGTGTTATCCCATTTCTTGTTCTTGATCATCATGAACGTCTTCTTGAATGATTCGAGTGGCCACTTTCATTTGGTTGTCTAGCTGTGGGTCCATTTAGTCTTTGTTATAATATTTTAGTCATTTCTGAACAATTTTGTGTCATTAGGCTTCTGTTGCTTGTCAGCATCGAGAGTCTTTTGTTATTGTAATGTTATTGTATTATTATTATTATTATTCTGCCGTTTTTTGAGCGCAGACTTGACCTGAAACTTTATAGACACAATCTATATGCAATTCTCTAAAACGTTTCCGATTTTCGATATGTGACGTCATTCAGCCGCCATCTTGGATTTAGTAAAACCCGGAAGTGCTCGATTGCACCGCTTTCTGAGGGTCTAGATCTCCATATGTTATGTATGTGGTATGTGCTTACCAATATTAATGAAAAAAAAATCTTGAGCGAACATGTGACCTCTGCGCCATATTTTTTTACTTATATGGTCAACAAATCACTAAAATACATATAAGTCATAACATTACTGTCCGAATTACATGACAATTAGGGTACATGTAAGGAGTAACAGTGTCATGGCTGCCTACAAAAATTGTTCTGATTGGTCGAGGAGTTTGGCAGCCATCTTAAATTTGGGAACAAAACATTTGTTTGCTTATAATTTGCAAAATTTTGAAGATATTGGAATTCTTATTCCGGAATCTTAATGAGCTCTATATAAGACATCTGCATGTCAAATTACATGGCAATTGAACGTGGCATTCAGCCGAAATTAATTTTATATGATTTCTTGATAATAAATACAAAAATGTTTGCTTGGCACCCTCTATTCTTATTCTGCGTTTTTCAAAACACTTCTTCTCGAATATTATTCTTACAACGCGTTTTGAAATATGCAGTTCGATCCGTTTTTGGCTTTTTTGCTCACCTCATGAAGTCATGTGGAACCAGTCTAACACTAGGACGTATTACTAAAGATTTATTTTGCAGAAACAAAATTCATTGTGAAATAATTTACAAATTATGGAATTGCCCAAATCATACACCGACATATTTATGAAATTTACCTTATCAGGTCCACACAAAAATATACATGTTCCTTGATATAACAGAAGTGTAATGGCATAACTATATTGCATATATGTAATTATGTGCTAAGGCAGTAGGGTTGTTATCCATACTGAAAGGCTATGGTTCCTTCCATAGACTTGCGTAACACAAATGTTCGATGCCAACTGGACCCACAGCTAGTGGTTGCTTTCGTTATATTTTATGTGAGTCATGTTGGGCTGTGACAATGGAGCCCTTTTTGCCTACTTCCGTGTAGGTGTAGTATTGAATGGTGGTGCTAGCTTTCCTGTCTTCTGTTGTTGTACAGTGTTCCTCTCTTGTCAAATATGCGAATTTTGAGCTGGTTCAGATATACTTGATTCGAAGCAATTGACGATATATTGATGTTGGTGAAACCCCAGTAGTGCTATGAAAAGTCGCACGGTAGTTGAAAAGAAACTTGGAACCCCAGTAGTGCTATGAGAAGTCGCACGGTAGTTGAAAAGAAACTTGGTACCCCAGTAGTGCTATGATGAGTCGCACTGTAGTTCTAAAGTAACTTGGAACCCCAGTAGTGCTATGAAAAGTCGCATGGTAGTTAAAAAGAAACTTGGTACCCCAGTAGTGCTATGAGGAGTCGCACGGTAGTTGAAAAGGAACTTGGAACCACAGTAGTGCCATGAGGAGTTGCACGGTAGTTGAAAAGAAACTTGGAACCCCAGTAGTGCCATGAGGAGTCGCACGGTAGTTGAAAAGAAACTTAGAACCCCAGTAGTGCTATGAGGAGTCGCATGGTAGTTGAACATAAACTTGGAACCCCAGTAGTGATATGGGGAGTCGCACAGTAGTTGAAAAGAAACTTGGTACCCGAGCAGTGCCATGAGGAGTTGCACGGTAGTTGAAAAGAAACTTGGAACCCCAGTAGTACCATGAGGAGTTTCACGGTAGTTGAAAAAAAACTTGGAACCCCAGTAGTGATATGGGGAGTTGCACGGTAGTTGAAAAGTTCTTGCATTCATGTTTAAACTTATATATATTGATGCAGCTCTAATGCTTTTTTTAGTGATGCCATGAAACATTCTACTCCACCAATGTTATATGTCATGTTGGTTCTTTTCCCAGTTTTATTTATTGATTGACTAGATGATGTAGAGTTGGATCAGTTGGATACTATGACAGAACCCCATGACCTCCTCGTGGCTTCCGTTGGGTATGAAAATTATTTTCACGAGTGATGCTAACAAAGTTCGTCGTTTTATGTTAAAAAGTCATTGCATGCGAACACTTAATAACCTAATTACATGAGTACTTGAAATTAATTAATACAATTTAACAATTGCTCGGCCGGCCACGCCTAAACAACTGACCATGCAGGACTCAACACTACACTGGTCCCACACAGTTAGCGACGACTAAACAATTGTCTTTCTCCAACGTTTCCTGTATTGACCTTGCTAATATCGAATCTAGATATCCGCTTGTGACGTGCGTACATTCGCCGTACATTAGTTGAACTAGAAAACAAAAACGTAGACCCGTCTACAGCGTGCCGCAGCAAATTTTGTAGAGATTTGACACTACGATGTTTCGACCACTCAGTGTGCCGATCACCACAACTCAACAAGGCTATTTGTCAGTTACAATACAATGGGTTTCACACGACTTGGTTTGATAACTGCCTGCAGCGCATGTCTATTATGACAAACTACTACTTTCCGCATACAAGATTTAGTGTGTTCAGTCTTGGCTGGTGCCCTAAGAACGGAACTGAAGGTTCCATCTGACAGTCCGCTATTGTACCAATGCATCGAACCAGGTAAGTTGGCAAAATGTTGTAAAGGCTCTCTGTGCAGCCGACCATGGAAGTTAAACACGTCATTAACCTAAAGGATTTATCTGCTTACATATTTGTGAGTCTACAGATGCCGAACCATATCTAATACAATGTGGATGTGAAGTTGAAGTTGCAGGCATAAACACATAATAAATTGAGCATATAAGATCTGTGTGTATTTAACTGGGATTTCATGTTCAGTCAAAACATTTACAGTGTAAAATTAACATTCATTTTGAAACCGTTTGAAAACAAATCTTTTTTCGCTACATGTATGCAAGGTCGCATACATTCATCATAGACAAGTGTCATGTGTGAACATCGCTTCTATTAATTCTACCAACTGTATTTTGACAGAACACAATCAGCCACACACCGATTACTCTTGAGATATCCAAATATTGCCAACGTGTTTATGTATACTACCAATAAATATACAAACACACAGTTAACAGAATCCCATTAGTCGCTACCCGTGATCTCATGTTTAGTCGGTTGCTCTCTCGGTAATGAAGTAAACATGTCTACACTCATTTAATAATTCCAATATCATGATGAATTGGTATTGATGAACTAACACAGTGATACTATAATAAATGATTATGTTGTCGCCACACTTATGCTTTGAAAACATTTCGGTCTACACAGAAATTACAGGTCAGTTCCATTACTGGGGTATTGTACGAATGTTCTATTGACCTAGATCCGACATTTCTCGCAAGAACAAAACATGAACGTATTCAAAACACAGTACCACAATACGGTGTTCATGATCACTGCTTACCTTGATCGACAGACTCGTTCAGCTTCGCTCAGGCTTCTGTTTTTGTCAAAGCTCCGATAAGTGACTTTGCTCCCTTTGGTGACGCAGTTATGTACAGTAAAAATGTGCGCATGTGCGCATGTACGCAAAACGAATGACATCACAACGTGACCTAATACTGGATTCAAGGACATATAGAAAGTGGCTTTCAGTAGTCTATAGGTCGTATACAATCACCAATGCAGGCACAAATTAAACTTGTT